CTGAGTCTTCAAGGGTGTTAAACAAAAAAGAGTTTAGAGTTCAGCATTTTAATGGCCTTGGTTCGCAGACCGGAGACTTATCAAATATTAAAAAGGGATATAAAAGACGGCTAAGCAGTAGCACAGAAAATTCCAGGTGTGAGAATGAAGTCCCAGGCAAGAAACAGGCTCGAGCAGAGGAAGGCAAGGGTGATATTGTGTACAGTGCTAAAAAACTGCCAAATACATGCACGGGTAATGAAAACAGGGAAGGAATTTCTCTAATCAAAACCAAGATAGATTCCAGGGCAGCCATCCCAGAACATCTTACTGAACAAGGAAAAACACCAACATCGAGAACAAAGTCTTCAGCCTCTAGATTGATTAAAAGCACAGATGTGCATTTAAACCGCACTAGGAACAAAAATACCTCTTCAAAATTGCGGAGGTCAGTTCTTGAAGGTTCAAATATACTTAGCATAGACATACAAAATCCACCTGCTTTCCACTCCACCATCTCTACAGATAATTTTTTTTCAAACCGAAATAATAAGGAATTCATGGAAACAGATTCTTTAACTCATAAAGTTTCAAATTCTGTGCAGATGGACAAAATAAAGATTGGGAGAAAAGATAAAATGGAAGCATTATTTACAGAGCCCACCACCAGTAATGAAGGCATACCTAAGGGGAGAGCACGTTTGCAGGCATCTGTTATATTGCAGGGTACTCCATGCACCAGTGTGGAGACACATAATATTATAGCAAGTAGAGTCATACCTGGTAGTGCTAGGACACAGAGAAATGAAAATAATGATTATAAGCAGAATAAAATTAATAGAACTCAAACAGATGTGAGCTGTGCTGAGGATAGGATTGATAGGCAGGAGATGGCTTTAGGCACAGATCATGGTAATGTGACTGCGAGCTGCTCTGGAAGTGGACATGTCCATTGTGACAGCAGGATACATTTTTGTCCTAGTGAGGATAAAATCTGCAATATTCAGATTGAGAAGGGTGTCAAACATGGGAGTGAAAAGCCCAATGGAATATTACAAGCTGGAACATTGCAGAAAGGCAACAGTCATCCCAAGGTTTTTCTGAAAGAGTTTCTAGGAAAATACAGAGGTGTTTGCAATGCAGATGATGTTCAGAATGGTCCAGCCTCTGATCTATTTTCTGACTCTAGAGACTTTGAAGACAGTTTCCAGTTGGATACTCAAACTGAGATGATAATAAAACAGGAGATAGCAGCTGGAATCACAGGACAGCAGGGAATAGAAGGTTCAGAGATGGCAGCAATACCACGGCAGGAAATCTCCAAAAACCTAAGCAGTTTATGGACTGAGAATGCTACCGATGAAAGGGTGGCTGCAACAGCTAGGAAACTGAGCTTATCAAGTCTTATCACAACAAATAACATTACCAAAAACATAACTCAACACTGCAGTAATCAAGTTTTGGAGTCTGGAGCCCTTAATTTACAGCCCATAGTGAAGGAAATAGAATCTGCACCTTGCCTTAAAGAAAGTGATTTCTCAGTGACTGACTCACAGCTACACAGTTTTCTACAAGATTACCAGACCCAAAATTCTGTGAAAGGGGAGAATGTGTCTAAAGACCTTAATAAAGCAACCTCCCATTTTGGAAGGGAACACATTGTACAAATAGAATACCACCCTGTCCCTGAAGCAAGCCTAAATATGAGTGATAGCTTGCTATTTGATGATAGCTTCAGTAATGTCACTGACCTTTCAGCTGTTTGCATCATGGAAGCTGACAGAAAGGACCCTGTGGAGAAGCAAGAGGCTTTGCTTCCTCCAGATGGTCTTTTGCAGAATCTAAGACCTGTTCAGAATAAATTTGATATCAGTGGCAATCAACAAGAACACGAGAATCCTGCACAGTGTAACAACGTATCTCTAGCACCCTCTGATACAATAGCTGAAGGTTTAGGTCATGGAAACTCCCCGTCTTTTCTGAAAGATCTTCCTGCTACCTTTCAGGGTCAATCAGGATTAATAAACCCAGTGATTTGTAACAATGACCCCAGACCGAAGGATTTAGTAGGAGATCAAGGTGAAAAGCTCCAGAGAAGCCAGCAAACTTTAGATAAGAAACCCCATCCAGTGGTATGGACTGACTGCTCGTTTGAACTAAGCCCAGGATTGCAGGATGTGTTAGACAAATGGCCTAGTCCCTCAAGCATTGAACCAGTTTCAGTAAGTTCCTGTTTGAAAGGAAAGTTAGTTTCTCCTACTGTTAATCAAGAACCAGATCTAGTTTTTGAATCTGACTGTTGTAAACCAGAGCCTTTGCCCACTTGCCAGGATTTAAAAAGCTCTTTCAAGGTTAAAGAAAACAAAACAGAAAACTTGCATCTTCAGAAAACAGATGTCATAACACTTCAGCTCAAGGGAAGCAGCAGAACGTCCTGTCCTCCATCAGATAATAATAATAATGGGTTTATTCCTCCAACACCTCCCAAAGAGCTTTTTCCAAAGAGTTCTTTTTCTCTTTCTGTGAAATCTGCAAGGAAGAGCCAAGTCACCTGCAAGAATGAAGGACAAATGATTCAGCCACAACAGAATAGTGAGGGCAATGCAGAGCAGCAGGTAAAAACACTCCAAGTCAGTACTGGGAGTCTAGACCCAACTGAGACTGATGAGATAAAAGATGATTCTGCTATAGACCAAGGCTTTTCACTGCAGCTGTCTCAGGATCCTCTTGTTCCCTTGAGTGCTGAAAGTTTCACTATTATTGATGTAGCAAGCAACAAAGCACTTTTCCAGACTTTCGTTGCAGAATGGAAGGAAAAAAGCAGATTCTCCATCTCAGTGGCATGCGAAAGAACAAAATGTCTTTTGTCTCCCAAATCCACGATTGGTGGCAAATTCAAAAAAGGTCAGTTCCCTGTTCCAGCACATTATTTTGTGAACAGTAGGGTGGCAGGAGTAGAGAAGGAAAGGGTTTGCAAAAGGGGGGGAAATTACTGATACTACTGATATTACAGAATCACATGATGTTTGGCATTGGAAGGGTCCTCTGGAGATCATCTAGATCAACCCCCTTTCTAAAGCAAGTTCACCTAGAACAGGTTGCACAGGATTGTGTCCAGGTAGCTTTTGAATATCTCTGGGAAAGGAGACTCCACAACCTCTATGGGCAATCTCTTCCAATGTTCTGTCATCCTCAAAGTAAATGGGTTTTTCCTCATGTTCAGGTGGAACCGCTCATTCAGCATCCCTTCCAAATTCTAGCCTTTCCTAGCAACCTCTTCAAGAGTTGAGACAGAAATATATTCCCTCCTTCCACTCTGAAAAGCGTTTCACGTTTGTCAAAAATATATTTTCATAGTTAAGGAGTGTTGTTGTTATGGCAATATGACAGCAATGAATCTAACTGCTTAATCTTGTCATTTTAAAGGAAGAGTATGTTTATAAAGCAGCAGCAAACTGCAGCATATCAATACTTTTGGGGGAAAAAATGAAGTAATATTGCAACAATCCAGACACTGATCTGAATTTCACATATGCTTATATTGAACCAAGTTTACATTTTACAAATTTGAAAATATTTAACCTTGGTTCAGAAGCAATCACAGAAGTAGCACAGCTCAGTGGAGCCCCTGAACAATCTGTAATGTTTACTGGTAAATGTAATATTCATTTTATAATATACAAAAACTTGTTTATGACGTGGTGCATGTGATAAAAGGACTACACAACAGAGAACCATTTCAATATTTGATACACAATGAGATGTTAATATTCAGATGCTCTCACATACCAACAAGTGGCTAATACTTCTTTACCGTCTCCAAGGACCTATTAAGGAAATGCTTGACATCAGTTCTCCATCCTTTACTAACACTCAGCTCCTTTGCATTACTGAGACTAACAATATTCAGTTTTAGGCTCAGCTGTATGTATTTACATTTCCAAGATCCTGTTTATGAATACCATTTTGTAATTGTAACTTGAAAATATGTCTTTAGTGAGTTCTCCTCAGCAAATGCAAGGTAAAGATGATGGGTTTCCTGTCCAAGGCTATGAAGACGTTGTGGTAGTTGGACTGGCAGTGTGCTGGGGCGGAAAAGATGCCTACTATATCTCTTTGCAGCAGATACAGGACCAGACTGGTAAGTGAGTGGACAGGCTGTGCTAGGTTATATGACACTGCATTTCAAGAAAGTACCTTCAGCAGATAGGTTCTTGGAAGTGTTGTGAGTGCTCTGAACCCAACTCAGTTGTGTGATGGAGTAATTTAGCTGTTGTAAATATTTAAACACCATTGAACATGTTGCTGTGGGTGTACCTATACTATGTAATAAGGCCAGGTAATTGGGTCAGACACTGGACTGTGAGTATGCATGTGGCTAAAATGTTAGCATACGCCCATGTTCTCTTTATCTTATTTGCTTTTCTCTTTCAATCTCTTCCAATTTTTCTTCAGAACAAATCTGACACTTGAATGCTGAACATAGCCCTATCTGTGCTAAGTAGCCCTGTGATTAGGGTTTGATTCCTGGCTATCCTTTGTTTGTTAGTACAGACACAACGTATTGCTTTTGGGAGCCTTGTCTGGTTTGATAAAATATGTAATGTCAGTATAGACATATTGTTATTTGTTCATACTTAAACTGTAGTTTTTGTGCTTTAGGTGATTGCACACAAGATTTTCTCTTGCCTTTCTTATCACACAGTGGGTAAAAAGATGGTTTTTGCTTGTATTTCCTGCCTTAGAAATCAGTATGAGTTTGGCACCACCACCTTTGGACAAAAGCCTGTCTGTAACAGAGAGACTATATCATCTGCAGCTGTATCTGCAGAAGAAGCCCAAGCAGGAGCGATCACTTATCATGTATGACTTCATTCAGCACTACAAAACTCTGCTGATGGCTTGTGGCATCTCCTTGGAAGGAAGTTTTGAGGACCCAAAGGTTTGCAGGATTAAGAAATTTAGCTTGGGTAAAACTACTAGTTTAAACACACCAGTGGAAAGATAAGAGTACCTTCTGGTACTTTCCTTCTATTATTTATGTTTGAATATGCACACCTCTCAGAGGGTTTAGTGAAATTTTCTTCCTATGGGAAATCTTAAACAGTATTTAGAGGACATTTGCTTTGCTATGTGGGTTTGATGGTACCTGCAAGAGAAACAAAGGAACAGTGAGAGATTAACACACTATTCTTTTATACCTTGCTTGGGTGAGGAAGATGAAGATAAATCTCTCCCCTGTCTCAGTGAACAGGGCTTAATGCTTGTTCCAATAAGAAGCCTGGGACTGAAATGTCAGAAGTGCTTCTGGTCAGATTATTGCTTCTGAGAACAGGAGACTTGGTAAGCAAAAGATTTACAAGCCATGTGTATGGACCACTTTGCTACCATTATTTTCTCAAAAGAAAACAAAGTTTACATGTAATTTCAAAAGGTTTGGAAACTATTTGTAACTCAGATGAAACACTAGATTGAGGTAAAAGCACCTTCTTGTCCATGTTAGGAAAAACTCTACAAGCAGAGAAATTTCTATTGATTTTTAAAGTTTTGCATCACACATAGACTGAATAGCATCATGATAATGTTCAACTCTGCAGGTAAGTTGCTAACGTGTTCAACACAAGTACAAACATTGATTTTTTCATATTGAGACATAGTTTTAGAATAAAATTAAAGAGTAATAAAAGTAACATCTTTCCCTGCTCTGTTCCATGTATTAATTGAAGTCATACTCATGTTTGTTCATTTTAGTGATGCAATGATTATATACATACACACACACCCCCCCCAACCCCATAAATATACACATATGGTTTTTACCTTCTGCTTGAATGGCAGAGACAGTGCAGAACCCTGTATTTTATCCTATTTTGGCACAAGAAATTGAAATATAGCTATAAATGAAATTGCTTTGAAGACAGTTAGAGGTATGTGGCTTACCAGGAGTAAAATATGCCACGCAGAATTCTTGGCATTAGTGCTGATGTACAAAAAATAGGAGAGCTCAGCTTGGCTCATGTTCTAGATCAATAGCAAGTTCTGATTTTACAAAGTCATTTTTTGGATTAAGCATGTTTTGATCCTGATTTTTATATTTATTCACTTTGTGTTATGTTTTAATAGACAAAAAACCCCAAGGACAACACTTCAAGATGTGTTTAGTTGACAAAGGATAAGGTTTTCAAATGTGCAGAAATAACTTTGAGTGAGAAGTAAGCTTTTCAGTGACTTATGCCCTCTTGAAGGTTTTCTTTGAAATCATGTAACTTTTAACTGCAGTTTGCCTGCCAAATCAAGAAGAATTATCTGCGCTATAACCTTGCATTAATCCCCAGCTAAATATTTGTCTTGTTTTACGACTGAAATGGAAAAAAAAGTCTCATGGAGGTCTCCCTTTTTAAGGTTGCATGTTGGTTGCTCGATTCTGGCTCTAAGGAACGTACACTTCACAACATGGTGACTAACTTTCTCCCCAATGAGCTGCCTCTGCTGGAAGCTGTAGGCACTGGCCAAGGAGTGCAGAGCCTGGGGCTTAGTGCCAGCAGAGATCATTCTGGGAGGTACAGAGCAGCAACAGAGTCTGTGCTTGTCTTCAATGTCATGGACCAACTCCGTAGTGAATTACAGAAGGAAAATCTGACAGGTGAGGAGAGCTTCTCCACTTGGGGGCAAAGATGGAGGGTAAAGGTAGCTGTGCTACCATGGGCTAAATGATCAGTGTGGAAGAGGAGGAGATTTGGAAGTTCTTACCTAACTATAATCTGTGTCAAAATGTTAATTTGTCAAAAGAGGGAACTTCCCTTGGAAATATATCTGTTTTGTAAAAAAAAAAATCAAATTAGAATATAATTTTTATATCCCAAATATCCACCAGTTCCATTGGTAAAGACACCAGCAGAGTCTGTTCTAAGTCTCTAAATCACTTGGGTCCCTACCTTCCAAATGAGTACCCTGACCATTCCAAGAGGACTCGTGGATCTGTCTCTGGTTTCTCATGAACTTTTTCAAAAGTTTTTGCATTTCCTTGTCAGAAGCAATTCTTAAATCCTCAGATGTGTTCTGAAGGAGATTTCTTGCTCTTTGGCCTTCCAATATAGGATTGTTTGCCATGTATGTGTTATGTCCATGAAGCTCTTGTGATCCCATAATGAATGATCCAGTATGTTTGCACTAATAATTGCTGAGTGCTTGTTGCTGTTTATAAACAAGCCATCAAAAAAAACCCCCAAAAGCACATACCTATCAGTGGTCATTGATACTTTCCCCTTAATTATATCCAAAGCCCAAGATTAAGGTCCAGTTTCACTCAAGTATTTTATTGCAAGCTTACCAAATCATGTATGATTGTTACAACTAAACCTTAGAACCTTTTTAAAAGATGTAGCTGGTAGAATGAAAGTGTATCAAGTTAGAAGGCCTTACATTAAACATGTCTGTGGTTTATAAAATGTTGATATATGAAGAGATGTGTGTTTCTTGGAACAAAAAATGACAGAAGCTGTTTTCTTAAACGCTTTTGTCATAAGACTGTGAAATATTCCATGAACAAAAGTATTCAAGTGAAATCTATAGAAGAAGATTTCAGTCTGTCTCGACATTCAGTATTTTAAAAACTGTGCAATCTCCATTTTTTTTTATGAATCTGTTGATCTGCAGTTGATCTGTTTAATAAAAGTTTTTCTTGGGGTTTGTACTTACTACAGATGTATTTTCTAAAGTGGAGATGCCCATCCACTATTGCTTAGCTCTGCTGGAGCTGAATGGCATTGGTTTTAGCTCAACAGCATATGAAACCCAGAAACAGGTCATGCAAGCTAAACTGAGCGAGATTGAGACCAAGGCATATCAGCTGGCAGGCCACAGCTTCTCCTTCACCAGCCCTGATGACATCGCAGAGGTACGTGAGGGTTAGAGTGCAAGGGGGAGAGCTTTCTCAGAAGTTACTCTCAAGGGTCTTTGGCTAAAACTGAAGAAAAACCAAAAATTTCTTGGGCAGACTGCGTAAGAAAAAAAGACACGCAAACTCAACTCTGCTCAGAGATTTGTCTTTTGGAGGCTTGCTGCCTGCAAGAGGCTGTGTCTCTCCTGCTTGTTACTGGTCATTCTGCCAACTTTAGCAGAGATAAAGAAGGTAGAAGTGGAAATAAAAAACAAGTGGAAATAAGCCTGTGGTTTGTGTAGGACCTTGGTTTCTCATGCCACATGAGATGATCTGCCAATTAAATGGCTTTTGGAATATTTTGGATGAGTGGTTCAGGACTGGAGAAGCTTTTTTACAACACCAGTCTTGTGCACATCAGGTATGATGCGATGTCATGTAGTCTTGACTCTTAAGAATAGTTGTACTCACTAAGTTACATTGTTACCCTTGTCCCTATATAGCATGAAAGAGGAGGAAAGACTGCTTTAAAAGTTTTGAATCAACTACTGTCTGCTTTTAGGAACTGTATAGAACTGAAATTTTTTTTTAAAGTCTAAGGAACAGATTTCTGTGTAAATGAGCAATACTTTTATTCCTGAAGAATTTCACTACATATTTTTTCATATAGGTTACATGGAGTCATTGGAATAGATTATAATTGCTGTGCATGCTTTTTTTTCCCCATTTTTTTTCCTATGTACTAGTTTCTTGCTAAGGGACTATACATTATATGGAAGTAGTCAAAACTTGCAAGCAGCCATCAGTTAAAGAAGTTCCACAGAAATATTCCTCCTTTGTTGCAAATGTAGAAGTCTTGCTCAGTAACAGTAGTCTAAGTTAGAACTCCTGACATAATGCTTGACTTCAGTTTCACGCTTCTCCATGGAAAAGGGGAAGGGAAGTTTTTTCTCAAATGCTGTTCTCTGAACTACAGAGAGTGGAAGTTTCTCATGTGGAAATTTGTTACGAATCGTGTAAAGTATCTTGTATAGGTTAGTAGAACTTTACCCTTCTAGTTTTGTGTCAGTAAAATTTCTGTGCTACATAAATGCGTGAGAGAAACTTCCTATTCCCTTCTGCCAGCTGTGAAATGAAACACAATAGCTGCTAAGTAGTGTATGATGCTACATAGAAACACAGAGTGAAAAATGAAGAGCTGTGTTGTCTGTCACCGAGTGAGTGTATACTTAATTTTCCAGTTTTTGGCGGTTTGTAAGCAAATCTAATATTCTAGCTATTCTATAAAAGGCATTTGTGACCACCTCCCTCCATGCCATTCATGTTTCTCTGAAGCCTGCTCTCTGCTAACACTTCTGTTTTTTCTCCATTGTTCTTCCCACTTTTAGTCATCTTGACATTACGTTTTATTACAGTTGACTGTCAGCAGTAACCTCACTTACTGGATGGAGTTAATTACCTTTTCTAAAAACATACCTCTGAACTCAAACTTATAGTGTTCAGAAAATGAGATTTTAAATTGCATTTTGTAGTTAATTAAAATGAGGAGGAATGACTTTGATAGCAGGGATCTTTAATCAGCTTTTTAATTACCTGAAGCATTTGTACTATCCTTTGGTTGGAACAAGCTGTTTAAGTGCTCTGTTGCTTTTTTTCTCTCCTGGGAGCACCATGCAGAAACTGATTTGAAATGCTGGTCTCTTGCAGGTGTTGTTCCTGGAACTGAAGTTGCCACAAAATGGAGATGTGAAGGTTCAAGGGAACAAAAAAACTCTGGGTTACACCAGAAGAGCAACTGCTAAAGGAAACAGGATTAGATTAAGCAAGCAGTTGAGTACAACCAAGGTACAGTAATGTCTGGTTCTAATCTGAAAGTAGATTTTAACTATCTTTTGCTTCTCCAGTTACTACTGGAAATTCAAACTGGATTCTACCTTGTCTGTTAGCAGAGTTAGTAACTCCTCCTCTCCTAAAGCTTGAGTATAGTGAGGACATAACTATAAATGGCAAGCTTCAATAAGAATAAATCAGGCAGAATCTGATTTCCCAAATAACCTGTAAGACCAAAATAGTACAATAATTTTGTAAAGCCAATAGCAAAAGAATTTTTTGACATCAGCTTGAGAGGTACTTAAATACCATGTCAATGAAATACGTTTTCCCTGCCTGCTACTATCGTATCTGTATTTTGTGCCTCAGAGAATTTGTCTTCAGAATGGCTAATCTGATGGTTTATCAAATTTAGTATATCAGAAGCTTGTATATATGTGAAGGCTATTGACATCCTTACCAGTTGATAAATATTGTGGGCCTGCATTAATACCTGTAGCTGCAGCTAATGGGTACTCTTGCCAGACAAGTGAAATTAGCAGATATATATGTTCCCTGTTTTCAGGACTCATTAATCTGTGTTGTTTTCTTAGTTTCCCCTTGTTCAGTGTACTGTGCTTGGAACACAAGTATTGATTTCTGAAACTCAAGTGGCAGTGAAGATGTTGAGTGCAGTGGTGGTGGCAGAGAGGGAACAAGAAGCAAAGAGATTTCCTCCTTCTGTGATGTGGAGGGATGAGGCTGCAGCTGCCTGCTGCATACGAAAAATGTTATTTCTAGAAATGTTTACATGCCACTGTCTTTTGAAATTCTTGTTAATCCCTTCATATTTCTGATGAAGCTGAAAGGATTTGATTGCTAGTGATCAGCTTTTTATTTCAAGGAGCATGGTCAAGGGCTTCATTTTGTATTCCTAGTGTACAGATAGGAGAGAGCAGGGAGAAAAATATGCAAGAAGATGGAGGAGTAGCATTAATACCAGACAAGAGGAGACAACGTAGGGTATCTATGGCAAGTGATGCTTTATTTGATCATTTCAAGTGGTTTATTGGTTGGTGCAGATTAAGACTGATAATGAGGGCGCAGAAGTCCACAGAGAATGGTTGTCTTCTCGTGTGTAATAAAACTTGCTTTGGTTACTCAGGTGTAGGTGGTATAAGGGTAGAGGATATCTATTTAATATTAAGGCAGTGACACTGGAAGCTCACTGTGAGTGAAGGAGTCCCTTTTTCCTGCAGAACTGCAAAAAATTTATAAATAAAGCTTAAAAGGCTGTTGATTAATTGTGCCCTTTTCTCCCCACAAGGACGTTTTGGAGAAATTAAAGGCGCTTCACCCATTGCCAGGGCTGATATTGGAATGGAGGAGGATCAACAATGCCATTACTAAAGTGGTGTTTCCACTACAGAGGGAAAAGCGATTGAATTCTGCATTGGGAATGGAAAGGATATATCCAGTTTCACAGACTCATACAGCTACAGGTGAGGAAATATGTGCAAAATCCTCACTTCTTACTGGTTTTTTTTTCTTTTTGTGTGTGTGTACAGCTTTTCTATGGGAAAAAGATAGGAAATCAGCGCTGTGCTCTGCTTCAACCAAATGAAAATACTGAAATACCTATTTGACATGAATTGTCCCTAAAAGTCTAAGTGTATTTAAAATAGCTTTTGTATTCTCTGAGCAGTATTATTCATTTATTACACATATTATCATGTAAATCTCTGACCCCAGAACAGGTTCTGCATTTGGAAGTTTCTTATTAGTGATACAGAAATGGGGAACCATCTCAAGCCCATTAAATCCGAATTATTTTTCCTTTTCTTCAGTTTCTCAGTGGTCCTGTCCTGTCCTGCCCTTCTGCCTCTTCTGTTTTGGAGATGCAGAGAGTGTGCAGCTGTGTTAAATTAGAGAAACTCCTTTTGGACCCTTACTTAGTTCTGCCTTGTCTTCCTTCTCAGGTCGAATAACCTTCACAGAGCCAAATATCCAGAATGTGCCAAGAGATTTTGAGATTGAAATGCCAACTGTGGTTGAAGAAAGCCCACCCTCCCAAGCCCGTGGAAGTGTTAATTGTCGTGGTGTTTTAGGGAGCAGGTAGGAGGATCTT